TTTTATGGAACTACTTGGAAGAGCTGGATTTTGAATGCAAAGTTGACAAATCCCAAAGCCAGTAGTGAAAGTGAAAATTAAAACAGTGCAGCTTTTTTTTTTTTTTTTTTTTTTTTAAATGATGCTGCTCATTGTTAATGCAGGGTTGGAGCTAGGTGCCTACATAGTAGGAGTCGGCAGGGTGCAAGCTACTACCCTTTTCCTGGATGCAACTTTGCTGTGTGCAGCAAGTATTTAAAAATAATAACCTGTGCTTGCTTTAACAGCCCAAGTACTAAAAATAATAATCTAGCATTTTCTAGAAATTTATACTGAGAAACTCATCAGGGAAACATTAATCTGTATGACTAGTGATCACAACATTGTTTGAACGAAGTTTCAGGATGAACTAAGTGCTTAAAAATACCTTTTATACAGTGATGCATTCACATCTTAAAGTTCTGGGCTGCATTTAAATTGCTTTTGAATATTTAATAAGAATAAAATGCTCATGATAAGAAAGGCAAGCAGTTGAAAAGTAAGAAAAATTAATTGTTTTTACCCTGAAACATGTATTAAAGTATAAAATGTAGACATTGTATGTTGTCTAAATAAATTTTGGCCCATACTTGGTTTAAGTAAAAATTAAAAAGTGAAAAAAAAAAGATTTGAAAAAAAAAAAAAAAAAGAAAGGCAAGCAAGATAAATATCTTGATCCAAGTTAAAAATAAATGGAATTGTCTTGTCCATGTATGGTAGAAAAAAACCTGTAATGAAATGCCTTTGGATTCTAGGAGTGGATTTAAAGTGAGAAAACGTAGTGTGTAAAGGTTGCCTTCATGGAATTTTCTAAGATTTTTCTGTGACTCTAAATTTTTCTCATGAGATTTTTAAAACTTGGATTTATTCTCTTTCATGTTGGAAGCCTGGCTGCAGTAAGTTACTTGGGAACTATATTTGAGATGGTTAGATTTGAGTAAAACTAATATTCATTCCTATCAACTTTTTAGTTTGATCCTCCTTATAAATATGAGGATACAGTATTAATTATATTATTATAATCTTGGTATGGTAAAGGTTTAAAATACTTTGGAAGCCAAGTATGATGGTCCACACATATAATCCCTCCATTCAGGAGGCTGACAGGAGCATGGCAGAGAGTTCAAGGCCAGCCTGACCTATATAGAGGACTCTGCCTCAAAAATAAATCATCTATTTATATATCTATCTGTCATTTATCTTAGAATCACAGAGTTGTTTTCCTCCTAACATTTTGTTTATGAAAATGTTAAAACATGCAGGAAAAGCTGAAGTAATTTTATAATGACTACCCACAAACATCACAACCTAGGTTCTGCTATTAATATTTTATGTTAACTTACTCTACCGTTTATCCATGTAACTCCCCAGTTTTTCTTTTTCTTTTTTTTTTGACGGAACAAGGAATTGAACTCAGGCCCTTGCGCTTGCCAGGGAAGTGCTTATTCTACTGAGCCATCTCCCCGGCACCCCCAGCTTTTATTTCTTACTGCATTGTTTATGCATTTCTGAGTAAGTTACAAACATCGCTACATTATCCAAAATCATGGGATTTTAGGCTTAAGAGTGTTTTCAAGTTTACATAATAAAATCTCACATTGATACCACATAGAACTGTGTGTGGTAGCACTTGGGTGGAAGTGGAAGTGGGATCCAGCCTCTTCCTTGGCCTTTTCTGCACTTCTGTCTTTGTCAAGTGCCTACACGGCTTGCAGATTAACACTGTCCCCAACCTACATCAGCTCTGCCTGGGGAATCTAGACCTAGAGAGGCTAGTGACCAGCCCAAGACTTCAGAGAAAGTGACAAAACTTTCTAGGACAAACTAGGAATCATTGTCAGTTTACTGAGTTTAGTTGTTGTGACTACTTGTGATCATGGCTTCGTGCAGCTGTGGGATCTAGGATTCCCACTTTGAATCACCCAGGAAGTTTTGTTTTGTGATCTTACCTGCTTCACTTAAGTCAGTAAGCTGTTCTTCATTTTAGTATAAAGGTACTGTACTTATTTTAGAAGTAAATCTTCATGTAAAAGAGAAACAATTTGCAGTTTAAAGTAGACTTTTTTGTTGTTGTTGTTTCATTTGGCTTTTTTGTTGTTTGAGATGGGATCTTTCTCTATAGTCCAGGCTGGACATGAACTCTCTTTGTAGTCCAGGCCAACCTGGAACTTGCAGCAGTCCCCTTGTCTCATCTCCTGAGCAATGGAATTACAGGTATATGCCACCATGCCAACTTAATGTAGATTTTTTTTTTTTTTTTTTTGGCGGAACTGGGTGAACTCAGACCCTTGCGCTTGCTAGGCAAGCACTTATTCTACTGAGCCATTTCCCCAGCCCCTTTATGTAGATTTCTAATTTGGGATAAAAGGCCCTGTTTTGAGAGAATAATTCAGATGATCTGGATTATCATATCATGACCTAGTATTCTCATGAAAATCAGTTTTAAGTAATTTGGTAATGTCATGGTGTGGATAAATAAGGGTATTCTAAGAGACATTATTTCTTGATTTAAATTATTTAATTTTAGGGCTGGCAAGATAGCTCAGTGGACTAAAGCACCTGTTTAGGCAAGCTTAGGCAAGCACAGTGACCAGGGTTTGATCCCTGACACCACATGCTGTGCCAGCCCCACCCCCCAGGGTGGGCTGAGCTGGCCAAAAAGAATTTTTATTTTATTTTATTTATTTATTTATTTATTTATTTTTTTAATGGCAGAAGGATTTTTTTTTGGGGGGGCTGGCTCAGAATGCCTTCAGGGCATGTTTGGCTGTCTGGAGTTGTGGGGATCGAACCACAGCAACCTGAGGCTGACTGCTTTGTTGAAGCAGCCACTTAAACAACTGAGCTAAGGGGCAGGCCCGCCAAAAAGAATTTTAAAAAAATAAGATAGGGCTGGGGAGATAGCTCAGTAGAATAAGCACTTGCCTGGCAGGTGCAAGGGCCTGAGTTCAATCCCTGGTTCCACCAAAAAAAAAAAAAAAAGCCATAAAAAATAAATTATTTAATTTTAAAATGATTCTGAAATAAAAAATAGGTTCTAAAAACTCACAATGAATTGCCTAAAGTTGCAGCAGTAATTAAGTGAAATTTATTTCTGTGGCTTGGAAATGTATTAAAACTTTTTTTAAAAAATCTCTTTAAAAAGTTTATGAACCTCTAGTCAAAACCAACAGGGGCGCCTGCCTGGCAAGCACGAGGTCATGAGTTCCAATCCCATTACCAAAAATCCAAAACAAAACAACACAAAAATCTAACAGGGTATATTTGGTACATCTCTCCTGAAAGTTGAGTGTTTTAATATGCTTACAGTTGTTCTTTCTGAAAATGTAGACATACTGATCAGAATGTACATCATGTGAAGAGCTGGGTGAGGTGACTCTTGCTTCCAGGAGGCTGTGACAAGAGGATCACAAATTTCTAGTTGTCCTGGGCAATCTAGGGAGACCCTGTCTTGAAATATAAAATAAAGAAGCCTTTGGAAGAGAGCTCAGAGATAGAATGCTTGCCTATTAGGTACAAGGACTGGGGTTCAGTCCCCAGCACAGATGAATGAATGACATAGTTCCACCAGTTACCAAGAATGTTTTCTTTTTTAACCTTCTAAAACTGCAGTGAAAAAGAGGAGGAACTGGCATAGGCATGACTACACAGAGATTGATGATGGTTCTAAACCAGTACAAGCTGGAACGAGGACTTTCGTCAAAGAGTTGCGTGCTCGAGTCTTCCCAAGGTATGGAAACTCTTAACTGAACAATTTAAGTTGGCTGATAAAATGACATTATCTAGAGCAGTATTTAGGCTGCAACATATTATTGTCCTCAGCTGGCTTTTTGCTTTTTTCCATGTTGAAATAGAAAATATTTTACCTTGTAAGTAAAAGGAATAAACATCATTTCCTGGAGTATTTGCTGTATGTATATGCATATGCATACTTAATTGTGGTTACTATCCAAAAGCTTTATTATATGTTGATGTGAAGCAGTTGTCCTCAGTGCTTAGTTTCTGCTGAGAAGTAGCTACTGTTGCTCTTCTTTCATCTGTCCTCTCTTTGGAGTTGCTCCCCCATTGTTTTTGTTGTCTGCCTATCAGAAGCCTTAGGTCTACCAGAAGTACCTACAACCTTTACTTAGCCATTGATGGCAGCAAGGCTTAGCTTTCTGATTTTTAAAAAATAATAGAACATACATCAGTTGTCTGTGGCTCAACAAAAGTCAAAAGCATTAATCATGCTAATTTAGATCATTTCCTACTCACTGCCTGACATCTGTTTAAAGGGATAAATGCTTAATAGGCTTCTATATCAGATCATATCCAGGCTTGATAAAGAGGGGAAGTACAATTTAAATTTAAACCACAGTATCACATGTAGCCTCTTAATGGATTTTTTTTTTTCAGATCCTGAAATGAAAAAACAGAAAAACCAAACCTGCCCTTTTTCCTCTAGGTTTTTTGGTCTGTTCTCCTACTCCTTCATCCTTAAAACAGAAACATACTGATAAGCATCCATATTGGCTCTCCCAGATCTGCAAAGAAACAGAAAAAAAAATGTAGAATAACCATAGTATTTACACATGATTTTTGTTATGTTGTCAGTTTTGAAGTCATAGGAGAAATGTTTGCTTGCTTTTCCTATATTGGACAGTGCTTGAGTGGCATCTTCAGTGCTTGAGTATAGTTTGGGTCTATTCATGGGCCTGAAGCAGTTTTGTGACCACCTTGAAACAGCGTGTACAGTGTAGTGCCCTGTGCGAGCACACTCTCCTCAGTGAGAGAAGCTATGGCTTTTACTTTTTCAAAAAAGATTTGTGAGCTCCCCAAAAAGTAGTACTAAAAGCTTTGGCCTAATAATTCATATGGCTTTTCTGCCTAAGTAAACACACATGAGAAGATATCTAAGTTGTAATTACCATTAATTAAAGATCTTAGTTTTATTTTGTGTAACTCCATAAGCCTTTGAATCATGTAAAGCCATGGATGAATGACAATAACTGCTAAATTACTTATGCTTTGTATAATTAACACAGAAGTGTATTGAAGTGGGTAGATTTGTTTCTGTCTCTCTTTTTTTAAGACGTAATGTCTTTTGAGACCCTGTTCTATATAAATAATATTTAAAACATTTATGTATGTGGATATATGAATATATGTATGCATAACTTTTTTTAAAAAATGAAGTTGTGTTAGGTATATTGTTATAGTTTGCCATTTTTTAGGTATCCTTTCATATTATATATGGAATACACACACACACACTCCCCGCTCTTCTGAATTGTTGTGTAACATGCAATGAATACCATAGTTGGTTTACTGTCCCCTTATGTATATTTGTTTCCAATTATTTCCTCTTTCAAATAATGTGCCTATATTTTAAGGGTTTGCATCTATTTTGACAGAGAAAGTAAAATACTATCAATATTTGAGCTTGGGAGTGCAGATGATAAAAATTCTCTCTTAGATTGGAGTTTAAAGGATAATTTAATCATCAAAGAGCAGGAAAGGAAGGGAAATTGTGGATGTTTATTAGTAAACTAAAAGGTAGGTCAGAACCCAGGTTGAGTAGAAGAGTTAGATGAAGAAGACCTAAGCCATCCATTTATAACATATTATAGAAATGATCCCTGAAAGTATGGCCTTTCCATCCATTTATAAGATTGTCTAAACTGGGTATGTGGTGTGGAGCACACATCTGTAATTGCATCACCCTAGGAGGCTGAGGTGGGAGAACCCTAAGTTTCAGTCCAGCCTAGACAACTGAGTGACTTAGTAAGACCCTGTCTCAAAAAAAAAAAAAAAAAAAAAAAAGACGGGCTCCGATGTAGCTTGGTGCAAAGGCCCTGGTTTCCATGCCCGGCACCCTCTCCACCGTAAAGACTGTCTGGGAGAAGCCTGTCTCCATGGTCTGAGGCTTTTGTTCCCCTGCCTTATTGAGACAGTGGGACGATCAGAGCCTGGTAATGCAGAGGACCAGCATCTCCCTTTTCTCCTGTTTTGTCCTGATCACTTAGTTTGCAGGTGACATCAGATGCCCAAGATCTGATAGGGAAAGGAGCCTGAGGTCCAACAATTTTTAGCTGATTAAATGTCTATGTAGTATTAAAGAGTTACTAATACTGGTTGCAATAGGTCACTTAAATCAGTAGTGCTCAGTGGGGGCATATAGGATACTTCTCTCAATGGATAAGGACCAGAGATAGTAGTTACCTTCCTGAATGCAGAATAATTCATTGTTCATTAGACTTTAAAATGCTTGATAAGTATTTGCTTAGAGTTTTATAGTCAGGTTAAAAATCTGGTCTGTTTTTTACTTATCCTAACATTTTTAATTGTAATATATACTCTGCCTAACTGCTGTTCTGATTTTCTACACAGCTGATATTGAGTGGTTTCTGTTTTTTTTCTCCTCCCCCTCCTCCTCCCTGTCCTCCTCCTCTTCCTCCTTCTCCTCCTTCTTCTCAGCCCTTCATTACAATTAATTTTAAACATCTTGTTATTTTATTGTGTCGAGCTTTTCCAGATAAGCTACACTCAAAAACATGCTCTTATATTCCTTTCTCTTTTTTATGCTTAGTGCATTGTATAGATTTTTCCAGTTACAATGTATTAAATTAAAGATTATATTATCTATGAATTGTATTTTAAATTGGCAAAATGAACTTTGCAAAATATTTGTTAATAAGAGAAAAATTAGGTATAATAGGTGAGAAGTGAAACAGCTAATTATGCAGTATGAATGTTACCTACTATCACAGTTACTGTTTTTAAACTGAACTTATCAAAAAAAATGACATCTACATTTTTAGTGCCGATGAAATCATTGTGAAGATGCATGGCAGCCAGCTGACACAAAGATACCTGGAGAAACACGGATTTGATGCTCCTATCATGGTCCCTAAATTAGATGACCTAGGACTCAGGCTCCCTCCTCCTGCTTTTTCTGTGATGGATGTGGAACGTTACGTAGGTACGAACTTGGCTCCTTTAAGTTCTTGGGAAAATATGGTAAAAGTAAATATGTGCTAAATATTGTAACAGAGGGCTGGGAGATAGCTCAGCAGTCCAAGCATCTGCATTAGGCAAGCATAAGGACCCAGGTTCGATCCCCAGTACCACATGCCATGCTAGCCCCACCCTGGGTGCGCTGAGAGGGCTACCAAGACCAGACATGGTGGTGCATGCCTGTAATCCCAGCCCTGGGGGCTGGGAAGGCTGAGATAGAAGGATCACTACTAGTCTAAACTGAGTAGTGAAACCCTATATCCAATTAAAAAAAAAAAGGGCTGGGGAGATAGCTCAGTGGCTTAAGTGCTTGGCTAGCAAGCACAAGGTCCTGAGTTCAATCCCCAGTACCAAAAAAAAGGACTCAACAAATATTATAATTTAATGAAGAAATCAGTTTAGTTCCATTTTTGGGTCAGCAAAAGTGAGACTCAGCATCATGCTGTTGAATGCTGCTTTCCTCAGCAGACCTCCTTGATCAGAAAAATCAGTGTTTGCCCATTCTAATTTGCTCAGGCTCATCCTGCACTATTGTTGGTGTCATTGGATGTAATACCATACTTGCTTAAGAAGAACCCTTAACTGAGGTGTAGATGCAGGGCCAAAGAGCAGCAGAGAGCCAGGCTAGCTCCCAGTATCTGTAGAAGCCTGGTGTGGAATTCCTGGAGACAGACAAGCTCTTTGCACTGCTTTGTGCCTATTGCCTAGAGGGAAGGCTGCAAGAAGAGATTCTGTTCAACCCATTTTTATATTAGTGACTTGGTGGCTGTTGCCATTTAATGACATGTGGACTTAAGCTGTAATTTTGAGGCCCAGAAGGTAATTAAAAACCAAGAGGGAAAGTACTTTACTGATTGCCAGATTGTTGACATTTTTCGTCATTTCATTTATTCTTATTATGATAATATAGTTCACTGCATATAGGTGCCTTTTTTTAACAATGTATTATTTGAAGATTAGATTCCAAGTATATCTTTTCTCAAAATTGTGTGTCTACTGCATTATCTTCTCAATATGGAATATCAAAGAACTTGTCCCTTTATTGCGCTATTGGTTGACAGTTTTCGTTGACAATGATTTTACTGTAAGGGCCAACCAGATAGCTCAGCAGACTAAAGCACCTGCTTAGGTAGAGAACAGTGCCAGGATTCAATCCCCGGCATGCCATGCCATCCCCGCACCCGGGGCACACTGAGGTGGTGATTGAGACTGGGCATGGTGGCGCGTGCCTATAATCCCAGCACTTGGGAGGCTGAAAATAGGAGAATCACTACGAGTCCGAGCTATGTAGTGAGATCCTGTAGACCCTGTACTAAATACATTTAAAAATTATTTTTGGGGCTGGGGAGATAGCTCAGTAGAATAAGGGCTTGCCTGGCAAGCACAAGGGCCTGAGCTCAATCCCTGGTTCCGCAAAAAATAAAATAAAATAAAATAAAAAATAAATTTTGAAATCCAGTTAAATATCCTGATTTCACATTTAGTAAAATTTGTGATAACTCATAGTGAGCATGAAATTTAGCCTAAACCTGTTTGCATAGATAAGCATTATAAGATAAATGGCTCATGTAATTTAAGTATAGAGCAAAATGTTCAAATTGCTTGACAGCTTTTTAGTACTGTGAAACTTCTCCAGTCAAATAGTAGTAACAGAACTGTTACATATTGAAGATAAGAAATGTGTAAAATATTACCATTAATGTATGTGAAGTTACATGAGAAAATGACATTTGTTTTCTATTTCTAATTGGTTAAGTATTACCATACTTTGAATTCCACCCGATACTGTAGTTCCTTATAAAATTGTTTATGCTTCCTAGAGAGGCATTTTGATGCTTATCAGCTTTTTTTTTTTTTTTTCAGTATGGGAGTTAGATGTGGGACCTTGAGCTTGCCAGGCAGGTCCTTATGCCACTGAGCTATCTTTCCAGTTCCAGCTTATGATTTTACAGACAAACTGAATTAATTAGTCACAATTCAGAATTTGGGCATTTAATTTGACACTAATATGAACTGATTCTTTTGCCTTTGTACCACTACTCCCCCTTCTTTCCTTCCTTCCTCGCTTTCTGTTTTCCTTCTTGTGGTACTGGGGATTGAATCCAGGTTCCTCATGTGCTAGGCATTCACTCAACTACTGAGCTCATCCTCAGCACTTTTCATTGAAGGATAATATGAAAAGAAAAAGTACTACCAGGAAAGCAGTTATCCTGGGCAAGTTGCTTACTCATTCCTCAATGAGTGATCTGTTTTTCAAAATGATACTTAGAGTTTTAGATATTATAGAAGTTAAGAAGAAAAATTAATCCTCTGATTTTATGCATGAGGAAATTAAAACCTAGAAAGTGCCAGAAAAGTTTCACATTCTAATACATGTATTTTTTGTCATTGTGGGCTGCATACATGAACTCATTGACCATAAAAGCAGTCGTGTACTTTTTATACTGTTAATTCATTAACTCTGTTTTACTGCTTTATTTCCCTTGAGAACTGTCTCTTATTTTCAGAAGATCCAATTGGACTTAAAAAGTAAAAATATAAGAATTTGTCTTGTGACTGGGCGTGGTGGCATGTGCCTATAGTCCCAGCACTTGGCAGGTTGAAAACAGGAGGATCACTGAGTCCAATCTGTATAGTGAGACCTTATAGACCCTGTACTAAATACATTGAAAAAAAAAAAAAAGAATTTGTCTTGGCTCTATATTTTTATGGTTGATTTAATTACTATATCAAAAAAATACAGTGTTTCAAATACTTTTGTTTAGGGTACCTATTGATAGAATTTATAAGCCCAATAATAATACTAGTTTTTCTCTGCAGGTGGTGACAAAGTGATAGATGTCATTGATGTGGCAAGGCAGGCAGACAGCAAAATGACCCTTCACAATTATGTGAAATACTTCACGAATCCTAACAGACCAAAAGTGTTAAATGTGATCAGCCTTGAATTTTCAGATACAAAGTGAGTAGTTCTGGATATTTTGTTTTAGCATTCTGAACATTAACTAAATGTAGCTCAGCGATATATTTATTTTAGTAAGAAACATAATTGTGACTTCTGAAGTTGTCCACTGTTAACAGTGTTGTGGATTTTGCTTAGCACAATTAGACAATATTTGAAAATAAGATGTTTTTAAACTTTAAGTGTTACTTTTCAGTTCTGTTTATTTATGTGGTTTAGGTTGACATGAGAGAAACAATTTAAAGAAGTCTTACTTTAGCGTGCATACATGTATTTGTTTTCTTTTAAAAGGATGTCTGAATTGGTGGAGGTCCCTGATATAGCTAGGAAGCTTTCCTGGGTGGAAAACTATTGGCCAGATGATTCAGTCTTTCCCAAGCCATTTGTTCAAAAATACTGCTTGATGGGTGTTCAAGACAGCTACACAGATTTCCACATTGACTTCGGTGGAACATCAGTCTGGTACCATGTCCTCTGGGTAAGAGTAGGGTGTTTATTTGTTCTCTTAATCACAAAAATATATAGTTATATGTTTTCAAATGGTATTCACTTGCTATGACATTTAGAGAGGGGAAGTTTTCCTACCTTTTGGTAGGATCTGTCACTTTGCCTTTAGCATTTATGATTTTTTTAAAAAACCACATGTGATAATGCCAACAAATGAAAGGTTTGAGCTCTTTATAATTTTTTTAGTAGTATTGGTGATATATAAATATATTCTTTGTGGGGAATTGGTACATATACATATTGAATCTTCATGAATTCTTTGTGTTTAGATTCCTTTTTTGCCTCTATCTTTTAAAATGGTTTCTGTTAGCCTTATGTCTTTTTCTTTCCCTATCCCTCTAGCCAATTATCCATTAATTCGTGAACCAAATACGTAAGAAGGAGCAAAATGATAGTAATAATTGCTTCTGGCATTAAGGATGGGGTAAGAGAACTAGATGGATAAGTCATGAGTGCCCATCAAAGTGCTATTTGCAGTTTATATTCACTTTGCTTTATCCAGAACCGTACTGCTTAATATAGCAGCCTTTAGCCATATGTGACTAAATTTAAGTAATTAAAATTCAGTATAACTTGAAAAATTCAGTTCCTCATTTCACTGGTGATATTTCGAGTGCCCAGCCACATGCGGCTGTGACTGCTGTGCTGAGTGGAGCAAGTAGAGAAACTCGCCACCCAGAAGTCCTGTTGGAGAGTGCTGATCCAGAGCCATGCTGAATCCTCAGCTCTCCTGCTCCTTTTCTCCTGGAAGACAAAGAGACATGGTTCATTAAAGGAAGTTTATTTACAAGATTTTAGTATGAGTCATTATGGGCTAGAGATCTTGAGAGAAAGAGTTAGAGAGGAGCCTGTGCTGTAAGCAGGCCCACTAACATGTTTACTTGGACACCTTAAGAATGAGAGGTGATCGGGGGTGTTAGTGGTTTTCCACCTTGCTCTCTGGCAGTGATTTCTCCAGCTTCAATTACTGGCTCCTGGTCATTTGGTGGAGAAGAGCTTTAACCCCATGAAAATGCTGGTGGAGAGAATTAGCTATTGATTAGTAATGGGAAACAGGTCTTTTTGAACCTAAAAAAATCTTGCTAATTATTTAATTTAGGTAATTGTATTGGGAAATCTTATGAATGTAGGCCATTGAAAGAATGGCTTTTGGTTTTTCAAAGATAGTATGGTTACTTCCTTTTAGGGTGAGAAGATTTTTTATTTGATAAAGCCAACAAATGAAAATTTGGCACTCTATGAATCTTGGAGTTCATCTGTGACCCAGAGTGAGGTATTCTTTGGAGATAAAGTGGATAAATGCTACAAATGTGTGGTAAAGCAGGGACATACCTTATTTGTTCCTACAGGTAAGGTTTTAACCCCACTCCCCACTACCATAGTTGATTCTCATTCACGTGGAATCAGCTTATAATTAGAATCTATGGCTTAACATGTTTGCAAAATAGATTTGTGACATTGCTTAAGAAATAATTCTGATCTTGACTTTTTATTTCATTATCCCTTAGAGGGCTTCTCTTAGAGTTAGGACTTCTCAGCCTTTTTTGTATTGTTTGCCATCATTTCAATTTTTATTTTTATTTATTTATTTATTTTTTGGCGGAACCAGGGATTGAACTCAGACCCTTGTGCTTGCCAGGCAAGCCCTTATTCTACTGAACCATCTCCTCGGCCCCCTCAATTTTTATTGAAGTGAAGTTCACATAATTACAGTATTTCTCCTTTTACAGTGTACAATTCAGTGGTTTTCAGTAGATTACTAATGTTACACAACCATCACCACTAACTATAACATTTTCATCATCTCAGGAAGGAACCACACGTCTTGCAATAGTTCCTTCCCTGTTCCCCTTTGTTACGCCTCTGGCAACTCTTTGTGTGCTTTCTGTCTCTCTAGGCTCACCTGTTCTAACTTGGTATATGTGGCCTTTTGTGTCTAACTTCTTTCGCTTAGTGCAGTGTTTTCTAGGCCCAGCTGTGCTGCAGCACATCAAGTATTTTACCTTTTCATGGCCCAGCAGTGATCCCCTCTAGGTGTTGTGCTTTGTTTACTCATCCATCAGTGGGTGGGTATGTAGGTCCTTCCAACTTTTGGCAATTCTGAACAGTGCTGCCTTGAGCATTTGTATATACATTTGTACGTGCAGGCTTTTTTTTTTCTTTTTTCTTTTTCTTTTTTTTTGTGGGGGAGGAGGTGCTGGGGATTGAACTCGGGACCATGCACTTGCTAGGTAGGCACTTATGCTACTGAGTTGTGTCCCCGATCTCTCTCTCTCTCTCTCTCTCTCTCTCTCTCTCTCATTCATCTTTTTGAGATGGGGTCTCCTTATGCAGCTCAGGCTGTCTTTGAACTCACTTTGTAGCCCACGTTGGCTTGAACTTGAAATAATCCTCCTGCCTCACCCTCCCAAGTGCTGGGATTACAAGCATGCATTGCCATGCCCAGCTTCATCTCTCTTGGGTGTGTATCTAGTAGTGGAGTTGCTGCATTGCATCATTTAACTACGTTTAAATTTTGAGGAACTATCACTCTATTCTAAAATGTGCCATAAACCTGAAATGTAGGTAGCACAATATCAGGTTGAGATGTGAACAGACGCAGAGTAGATTCTCAGGACCAGCAGTTTTGAGAACTACGATCTTCTGGGGTGGGCTGTCTCAGTGGCTGCACAGCTCACAGGCTACACCCAAGGCTCTGCTTTCTTCCCTTGTCTGGTATATATAATAATGAATGTGTGCTTGAATACATGAATGCATGCCTGTAGTCACCAGCATTGTCTGGAATAAATTAGCAACATTTCCATTGGAGTGAATGACTCCTCCCTGAAGTCCTCTTTCTAGTGTTCCCCTTTATTTTGTAAATATTATATGTTTTGTAACAAATATTTTGTTGTGGCATCTTGAATTGAAATCCATAGAATACACACACACACACACACACACACACATACACATACACACTTTCTGCATAATTTGTTTAAAAATTGATTTAATGGACTACAAGGAAGAACTAAGAAGGTCATTTATAAATGAAGTGCTATTCTGATATGGCTTTGTGCACAGTGTCAGTAGAGGACAGAATGAACTGGTTAACTGTGTGAGTCAGATGTGTGCTGTGGCCTTAAGTTCCAACAGTCACTTTGGTGGGATTAGTGGTTTTCAGACCTCAGTGAGCATCAGAGTCACCTGGAGAGCTGGCTGAACCAGATTGTTTTCACTTATTACCTTCAGGATTCTGGGATGGGTCTGAGAATTTGCATTTTAACAAATTCTAACTGATGATATTGTGTGGTCTAGAGCCACACTTTGAAAAATACTGTGCTATGCAGTATAATATTTTTCCCCAAGATAGTTGACAACTGCTAAGCTTCCAAGCAAACAACACTATAATTTCCTTCAATTTGCTATAGTTGTATTTTTGAAAATTGTGCCAATACCATGTAGACACACTTTGTTTAGATGCATAATCTGGTTTCTAGGTTCAGATAGTTAATGAGCAGGATTTGTAACTATGAATGCCCAGATTTATCTTTCTGTAAAGTCTTTTTTGCTAAGCCCATCATTTAGTTCAAAAGCTACCTATCATGTCTTAGAAATGATTTTTACTTTAAAAACATTTCTATAGCAAAACATCATTTTGGTTGCCAACATTTCTGTTTATAGGCCCATGGCTCTCCATAATTATTATTATTATTATTATTATTTTTGTGTGTGTGTGTGGCCTGCTCAGCCCTCCCTGGGGGCAGGGCTGATGAGGTATGTGATGTTGGGGATCAAACCACAGTCCTTGAGCTTTGCCTAAGCTCGCCTAAGCTTGCCTAAGCAGGCGCTTTAGACCGCTGAGCTATCTCGCCAGCCCCACTCTCCATAATTAAATATTAGTAATAATCTGTCTTGCCCTTCTTACAGAGTTCAGTCTCAGATTGAGTTTCTGATTCTCCTCTCCCTCTTCCCATGAGGGCACTGAGCTAGTTCAGCATGGCACTAGGGGAGTAGAGTACGCAGCCGGCACCTGTTCTCTGAGGGAAATGTGCTTTCCTAATTCAAATCAGATTTGACTTGTCTTAGAGTAGAGTCTTAACTACCAAAAACCTTCACTTGATTCTTCAAATTCAGTACAAAGCTTGGCGTATTATAGGTAATGAAAATGTCTAATTGGAGGACTTAACTGATCATAATAGACAGTGGAGAATGAAGCAAACTAATATTGCTATTTTAAGTATCTCACAAGTGGACATCGCATCTGTTCTGATCTATATGTTCTTAACCATTACAGGGTGGATCCATGCTGTGCTCACATCTCAGGACTGCATGGCTTTTGGGGGGAACTTTCTACACAACCTTAACATTGGCATGCAGCTCAGGTTTGTGTCACCAATGCGGAATCTTATTTTTAAATATAGGACGCTTTTGTTTGCTTGGTTGAAAAATCACAGAGTATTTTATTTGAGATTCCATGGAGATAGACTTAGGGAAATGGTTAGGAACAGGAAGTATTAAAAGAAGTGTTAAAGTTTTGTTGGTGATGTTTTGATATATTTCAAACCTAAAGCAAAAAGAATGACTCATTTATTATGATTTTATCTCTTCAGATTTCAATATTCTTTTCTTTTATTGAGACAGGGTCTTGCTATGTGGTCCAGGCTGACTTTAAACTCACTATATTGCCTAGGCTGGCCTCAAACTCATGGCAAATCTTTCTGCTTCAGCCTTCCAAGTGCTGGGATTACAGTTGTGCGCCACACACCCTTAGATGTGATTTTGACCTTGAGTACTTACTAAAGGAAACCAGATTGGGGGATAGCTTAGCATGGGAGATAGCTCAGCAGTCTAAGTGCCTGCCTGACAAGTACAAGAACCCAAGTTTGATCCCAGGTGCCACATACTGTGCCAGCCCCAGAACTGGCCATGGTGGTGCACACCTGTAATCCTTCCCTGGGGAGGCTGAGACAGCAGGATCACTACAAGTCTGAACTGCATAATGAGACTCTATCCAATAATAAATAAATAGATAGATAAATAAATAAAAATGAAACTCAATTGAGTTTGCAATATTGTCCAACATAATAGAATCTTCATAAACCCTTTTGCTAAAATTAGGGTACAAATTCCAAGGTATGGTATTTCATGAACCTCAATATAATTATTAAGCATGCTGTCAAATTTATTAAGGGCAGAACCTGAATGAGATCATAATTCAACATTTTCCAGCTGTGGTGTTTTAAATAGACACAACACTTGATTGTTTTTTTCTTATACATTATGTCTTGCTTAATTTATTTTAAAATTGATTATCTTCATTTAAGTTTGAAATGTTAATAAATAATTCTTCCAATTGTATTCATTTAGGTGTTATGAGATGGAGAAAAGACTAAAAACACCAGATCTTTTCAAATTCCCTTTTTTTGAAGCCATATGTTGGTTTGTAGCCAAAAATTTGCTGGAAACCTTGAAAGGTAATTAATGATTTGCACATTCTGTTATGTAATGATACATAATGTTTGTAAACTTCCTTAAAATGCCTGGCAGAAGAAATCTTTTCTATCTGGGTATGGATATCATTCTTGGTTTGTTTTTTGAATACAGTATACATGGTCTCCCCTCCTCCCACCCCCAACCAGGAGCCTTCTTAGCAATTAGTTTCTAGCCCATAGCCTACTAACCTGCATTCTTAGAAATCAGTACACGAAGATCTGTACTAGAAGCACATTGATGATACTAGAAAAAGCTCATCTCCTGTATAACTCCAATAACCTGCATGTATTCTTAAGCGTTCATAGGTACTTCACTCTCAGAAAGTAACTTCTGTCAAGAGACTGTTAGCTCCAATGTGTTCTTAAACATTTGCTTTGAAAGGCCAGGGGACCACTTCTCATGTCCCGAGAGAATCAGGTGACTGGAATAATTTCCCTGTGAGCATATCAACCACTGACTGTCAGCTTAGGATCTGTATGTTTTTGAAACTTGTTTAAGCTTAAAGCTATTTTCTTTCTTTTTTTTTGTGCAGAACCGGGGATTGAACTCAGGCCCTTGCACTTGCCAGGGAAGCGCTTATTCCGCTGAGCCATCTCCCTGGCCCCTAAAGCTATTTTCTTAAAGGGATAATTTCAAATTTTGATGTTTTTATATTCTCACTTAATCTTTGAGCAGTGGAGATTATATTCTCACTGCCAGAAGTGCATGAAAAACAGGAAATAGAAATAGATGTGGCATTCAGTTTCCAGGTGCCACTGAGAATATGGTTTGTCTGGTTTTGAATCATCTCACATTTCTCTTCAATTTGCAAATAGTGCTAACATTACAGTGAATTCCCAGGAGAACAGATATAAACAAATAGTAAAGTGTATCTAAACGTTTTTCCATTTAAAACTTATAGAAGGGGGCTGAGGATATAGCCCCTGACTGGCAGGTGCAAGGTCCTGAGTTCAATCCCTGGTACAGCAAAAAACAAATAAAACTTATAGAAGGAAAGGCAAGAAACAACCAAGAATTTCCTTCATAGAACAGCATGTATGGAACTACTGAAGTGTTAAAACTAATCATGCATGCCTGTTCCCCTCTGTGAGTGGAAGAACAATAACACCTTGCTGTGTGTATGGTGTGGAGGGAGGTGCACGAGGAGGGGGGACCTGGAGGAGGAGGACTAGGTGCCCACTGCAGGCCAGCCTCTGCTCTAGCAGTGACCGTTATCCTGACCCCGGCCTCAGTCATGCTGCCAGGTGTCGCACTTGCACTCGGCTGCAGGAATGGTACGGTGAGCCAGACTTGCTGCTCCAAGCTGTCAAGGTCGAAGTGAAAGCTAGGCACTGATGGTGGTGATCTCTCAAGAGCAAGCCTAGGAAAGCAGGAACACAGACTGTAATACGTACTTGTAGAAAGTAGTAACAACTGTTTGTGTTTTCTAGAAGTAAACCCAACTACTAAACCCTTCAGTTAAGAGGCTGGCAGTTTTACACTTGGTTCAGAGTTCTTTCTCCCATCTTTTTGGTTAGTCTGTCCTAGGATCCCAAGTTCCTGTTTTATGGTTAGCGAGGAAAGACTCCACTAACACATACCCCTAATGCTTAATAGGAGGAGCCCATCAACTGACTTCTTTTAGTGAATTGAATTTGTTTGAAAGATAAAATCTTGCTGTTATTTTGAAAGCCATAGCAGCATTTTGCATAGTTTTAGAAATAACTATTTCTAAGTTGAGCATGGTAGTATATGCATATAGCCGCAAAACTTAGGAGGCTGAGGCCAGAGGGTCTCTGTGGTTCAAGGCTAGCCTGATTCTTTGAGACAGGTACAAAGAATAAAAGAGAGCTATTTACTATTTGTCTTAGACCACCAAAAGTTCAGAAATATTGAAGTTTGTTTATCAATAATGGCCACATACAATAAAGACTTTTAAAAGCAAAGAAGGGTTTCTATAAAAGGGCATTTATGGGTTGCTTTAAATGTTATCAGCCAGATTAGCACATACTTGGCAGGTGATTGAGGCTAACTGATTCACTCCACTCCCACCGAGGTGAAAGCCAAATGACCGTACAGCCTTCTCCATTGTCCTGAGCATTCATCCTGGAAACAGAGCTGGTACCCTTGTTTCTCCATATTACAGTGTCTTTTTTTCACAGCTGACCTTTTTACTTTACATTGTGAGCTATTATCTGCCAACTCTCAGACTATTATAAAGCTTATCTGAGTGCTGGGCCAAATGAGGGTGGATTCTACAAAATTTAAGCCATTTCATCCAGTGATGATAAAGCAATGGACCAATCTGAATTTGTGTAAGGAAATTAGCCAGTGGGAAGAGCTGAAATGGTTAGCTTTTGTTTCAGCTTACCTGAATTCTCAGTTACAAGCTGAAGCATTTTTCTTGAGTTTCAGATGATTGGTTTGTTTCAAAAACCAAAAAATGACTTTTTTTCTGTGTGTGTGTGTGTGTGTGTGTGTGTGTGTGTGTGTTTACTTTTATAGTAGTGGCTGAATATACAGATCACACACACCCTGCATATGCATACACTCTTGTCTGTTTTAAACAAAGTGACTGTTATTCTGGTAATGCCTATACACGTCAGACCAAAAAAGCCTTGTCAGTGTCTCAGAAATACCTCACCTGCCTCATTATAACTGCTTGTCCTACCTGCTTCCTTCCCTGCTAGATATAACCACTGTCTTTCAGCTGTTGTGCTATCCTTTTCTTCAGTTTTATCAGCTGTATTGTAAAGTAAAAGAATTGAATTTTCCCCATTTGTAAACTTTGTATGCATATTCAAGCTGCTGCACTCTTGGGACCTGGTCTTTTACTGAGTAGTTTCCCCGTGATGGGTCTGCGCTCCTGTGGGTGGCTGGAGCTTGTTTTCCCTTGCTGTAGTGCTCAGTTGTGTAGTGCACCGCCAGTCACATACCTGTTCTGCAGAGGTTGCTGAGCACAGGGGTTTGTTTCAGTGTGGGGTGACTGTGGAAGGCATTTCTCAGAAGTCCTTAGCACTGCCACCTAGTGCGAGGGCTAGCTCAGAGCACAGGCTTGTTCATTAAGTCATGGAGAGAATTAAGTAGCTGACGCCAAGTTGTCCCCATTCCTGTTTCCATGGCTGGGTGTGAGGGTTGACAGCGCTCCATACTGCCCACAACTTGGTGTGTTAGGCTGCAATTTTGCTTATCTACTATTTTGTATTTTTAATATACATTATCCTGAATATTAATAAAATTGAGCATTTTTCTCATATACACATTGGCCTTTTGGGTTTCTTCTCTACTTAATTGCCTGTTTGGATCTTTTGTCAGTATTTCAATTTAATTATTTCTTTTTAAACTAATTTATATCAATTCTTTATGTATTCGAACTTCTGTTTTTTCAGTAATATGTATTGCTGATGCTGTCACATCAACTAATTTACCTATTTACTCTTTGTAGTGTCTTTTGAAGAGTAACATTTCTTAATTTAAAACAGTACTTTTTCAACTTGAAAAAGATTTTTCATGCTTTGTTTAAAAGATTCTTTTTTTCATAATTTTATTGAGAAACAAATAGCAATGAGACAGTTTCAAACCAAATTGGTAGGACAGTTTCAATAATTAACACATTGCATACATTCTTCCTAGTGGTTAATTGCTGTACAAGATGCAGACGTGATATCCTATTTACAAACACATTAGAACAAATCACTCTTTTCATTAAGAGAATGTAACTATATATCTATCCTAACCACTTTGAATACACAGATACAAAATGAACATTCATCTGTATCCCCTGTTTAAAAGATTCTTATCTCAGAGTCTTGTAAATATTGTTTTCTAAAAGCTTTTGTAGTTTTATATTTTACATTTAGGCTTTTAACTTATTTGTAATTGAATTTCTTGTGGATGTAGGTAAGCAAGGTATATTTTTAGTTGTTTTCTTATAAATACCCATGGGTCCCAGCACTATATTTTCCTGTTCTTGGTGGCTCCTGCTCGTGTCCTGCACTCTGTGAATGTGTGCCACGTCCACACTCATTCTTCTGTCCTGTTAGGCTAGTAGTCTGTGTCTTTCTCTGTGCACATTGTCCTTTTTAGGTTACATTCAGACTTGGTATCTGTTAGTTCCTCTGCTTTATTCTTCAAGTGTGCCTTGCCTTCTTCCTTTTCTATGTAAGTTTTTGAACTACCTTTGTTCAAGCTGACACTGTTCCTTCCCCCATGAAAAAAGCAAGCAAGCAAATAAGAACATGTGGATTTAAATTTGAGCATATTGAATCTAGAGATCAATGCTGATAATTTTTTTTTTTTTTTTGGTGGAACTGGGGATTGAACTCAGACCCTTGCGCTTGCCAAGGAAGCACTTATTCTACTGAGCCATCTCCCTGGCCCCAATGCTGATAAAATTTTATGTGATTAAATATGGAATATTTGGCCAGGTGTAGTGACACACACCTGTAGTTACAGAACTTAGGAAGCTGAGGCTGGAGGATTGCTGTGAGTTCAAGGCTGACCTGAACTGCATAGTGAGACCCTGCCTCAAAAAAGAAAGAAGTTTTTGAAAAATTATAGTGGGAAATCCATTCAGATCTTTTTTTGATATTTTGATATCTTCTTTTTTAATTTGGTAAAAAACCAAACACATATTTCATTCATTTATTTACTTATTTATTTGATACAGGGTCTCACTATGCAGTTCAGACTTGTAGTGATCCTCCTATCTCAGTCTCCCAGCTCTGGAATTATAGGCATGCACCACCATGCCTGGTTTTGGTGGCCAGCACAGCGTGTCGGTGTTCTTGGGGAGCTGGCACAGCATGCAGTACTGGAGATCAAACTTGGGTCTCTGCACTTGCCAGGCAGGTGCTTAGACCACTGAGCTATCTCCCCCACCCCAAACATGTATTCCTTAATAGATTTATTCCTAGGTACTTCGTATTTTAGTGCTATCATAAATAATATATTGACACTATATATAATTATATATGATTGAATCATATAAAATTACTTTTCTTCTATTTCAAAATGACCAAATACTGGCAATGTATAGGAATAAACCTAATCATGTGACACTGGAATACAGAAACAATTTTCATTGCGGTTTTTCCATTTAGAAAACTTGTTAAAAACTATTATTTAATAATTTATTTGAGATTTAGGTTCACTGATATATAACTACATACATTCTCTGTGACTAATGACAGTCATTCTTTTTCAAATATTTGTGTCTTTTAGTTGTTGTTGCTCTGCTGGGTTGACTAGGACCTCCAGGCAGTGGGAAAGAGGAATGGGGAAGGTGGGACCTTTATCTTGTTTTCAGGCTCAAAAATAAAGCTTTCCACTGTTCATCATTGTTTGCTGAAGGCTTTCTGTTGATAACCTTTATCTGGTTTAGGAACTCTTGTCTACTCTAAGTTAGCTAAAAAATTAAACTTTTTTCTTTTTAAAATACAATCAGTTCTGGTTGAATTTTATTAAAAGATTTTCATACATGTATTAATACAATTTTATGATTTTTCTCCTATCGTCTTTTGTTTTTTCTGGAACCAGGGATTGAACTCAGGCCCTTGCTTATTCTACTGAGCTATCTCCCTGGCCCCTCCTAGCATCTTTTAACTTAGTGGTTCTTTCGATTTTTCTCATGTTAGCCCAACCTTGATCTTGATATAATTTTTGCATACTAGTAGGTTAGAATATGGTGTATGTTATAGTCGTATCTATGTTACTTTAAATATTCTAGATATATTAATCTGTACTAGAATATGTAAATATATTCTATATAAAATACACAACAATGCATTTGCATCTTA